TTTACCAACTGCCTGGGTTATGGGTGTGTGGGCTGTAAGGAAGTCTCCAGCTCAAGCGTCACCTGTAGTACCACCCGAGACCACACAAATCTTTAGTCGTACACCCTGCAACCCCCGATGCTGGCAAGGATCTGTCCACTGCCTCGTCTGCAGCAGCGCTTGCTGCAGCCACCGCCACAGAGAAGCCGCTGGCCGCACTGGCATCCTGTAGAGGGTATACCCGTCTGTTGGATTTGGAACTATAGCCCTAACCTCTAAGATCTAGACCTCTAGGGTTTGTTGGGGTTTAGCTTTAGGAGAATGTCCTTCACATCGAAAAGCTGCATTGGCTTTGCATCCAAGAGCCTGGACCTCTTCAGCGCCGGGCTTCTAATCGGTGTGCTCTTTGGGGTTGGGCACTTCTGTGGGGTGGCTTGTGGCATCGGTGCATCAGCATCATCTGCTGCCTTGCTTGGGGTCAACTGCATTGTCAGCTGTGCAGCTTCGGCTGCAGTGGGCTTCTTCGGTGTTGCTTGCACCATCGGCTCATCTTCATCTGCTGCTGCTGGGAGGGTTGCCTCACACATCCCTGGATCTGCTAGTACTATTGTGGCCACAGTGGACTCGTCCTGGGTCTCTGCTGTTGGGACTTCATCGGCAGGCTTGAGCTCTGGCTGGGTTGCAAAGGGAGTGGCAGCTGGGACTTCAGGGGCAGGCAACAGCTCTGGCTGGGTTGCACAGGGAGTGGCAGCTGGGACTTCAGGGGCAGGCGACGGCTCTGGCTGGGTTGCACCAGGAGTGGCTGTTGGGACTTCAGGGACAGGCTTCAGGTCTGGCTGGGTTGCACCAGGAGTGGCTGTTGGGACTTCAGGGGCAGGCAACAGCTCTGGCTGGGTTGCACCAGGAGTGGCTGTTGGGACTTCAGAAGCAGGCTTCAGCTCTGGCTGGGTTGCAGCAGGAGTGGCTGTTGGGACTTCAGGGGCAGGCTTTAGCTTCGGCTCGGTTGCACCCAGAGTGGCTGTTGGGACTTCATCGGCTAGCATCAGCTCTGGCTGGGTTGCACAGGGAGCGGCTGTTGGGGCTTCATCGGCTGGCTTCAGCTCTGGCTTGGTTGCACCAGGAGTGGCTGTTGGGACTTCAGGGGCAGGCTTTAGCTTCGGGTCGGTTGCGCTGGGAGCGGCTGTTGGGACTTCATCGGCAGGCTTCGGCTTTGGCTGGGTTGCGCTGGGAGCGGCTGTTGGGACTTCAAGCTTTGGCTCGGTTGCACGAACATCAGCAGGCAGCTTGGGCGGGGATGCAGGCGGTTTCACTCCCACCGGCTTGGCATGATTGGCTTGCCCCTTAAGAGGCACTTCTTCCACCTTGGCCTCCATCTTCGGCATGCGGAACCTCAAACCAGTGGCAATACCTGGGATGTATCAGGACAGCTGTAGAATAATATAGAAACCATCGATATCAGGATGAGTTCGGACAACATACAAGGAGCATCTTCATACCAAAGCAGTTACCGATCTGTAGGGATAAGTAGTTGTGTAACAGTAAGGTATTACTACTGTGTCATGTAGGTCTGTAGGAATGTACATGCATATGTATGTATGTATGTATGTATGTATGTATGTATGTATGTATGTATGTATGTATGTCTCTATGGATGTATGTGTGTATGTGTATGTGTATGTACATATGTATGCCAAAAACAACGGCAACAACA